AAAAAAAAAAAAAAAAAAAAAAAGAAACATTTTGCTTCATGGTCATTATTTTTCAGGCAATATGAAGTTGTTTTACTAACTCTTCAGTCTTAAATTGTTTAAAAAATAATCTGATTAACATCTCATAATAGTGAAAAAACCCACCAAACAGAAATGGGGTCACAGGACTAAAAGAATTATTAATTTTTCTTTTCAATAATTTGCCAATTCATCACGTGCAAGGCACTGAGCAAAATGAAATTAAATAAACTGTGAGTCTGGTCAAGAAGAATTCGAGGTAGAAAATAGCTAGAACCAGCCAGATGCAGTGGCTCAGCCTATAATCCCAGCACTTTGGGAGGCCGAGGTGAGAGGCTTGCCTGAGTCCAGGGGTTCAAGACCAGCCCGGGCAACTTGGTGAGACCTTGTCTCTACAATAAATCAAAATTAGCACACGCCTGTAGTTCCAGCTACTTGGAAGGCTGAGGCAGGAGGGTCACTGAAGCCCAGCAAGTTGACACTGGAGTGGCTATGAGTGTGCCACTGCTCTCCTGTAGAGACCCTCGTCTCTACACTGAATCAAAAAATAAGCTGGGCGTGGTAGCACGTGCCTATAGGTCCAGCTACTTGGAAAAAGCTGAGGCAGAAGACTTGCCTAAGCCCAGCAGGTCGAGGCTGCAGTGGCCGTGAGCATGCCACTGAATTCCAGCCTGGGCGACGGGGTGAGACTCCAACTCAAAAAAAAAAAAAAAAGAAAGAAAAGAAAATAGCCAGAACTGAGAAAGAGACAAATGGTTTAGTTCTACTATAGGAAACAGCACAGGAAGAGTGTTTACGGTATGCTCCTCCTCCATTTAGGTCCCTCCTTAGCAGTGTAACATTTCTGGTTTTTCTGCTAGTGTCTTCTGATTGGAAGACAGGTGAGGTGTCCTCAATCAGCAACGTTGCTCTAAGGCTTCCGTGCTCAGTCACCTTGGTCTTCTACAAATAATGGGCATCACTCACTCGGATTAGCTCTGACTCTACCGTTACAGAATAAACAGCTGACTATATCAAAGGTCTCCATGCTGGCAGCTGGTGAGAAAGCTCGAGTTATTCATTAAGCACTTTCTTCTCAAGTGTTTACTGATCAGAACTCCAACTCCAAAGCTTACTTATCCAAGAAATCAAATGAAATAAAACCACTCAGTTCAAGAACGGTCATGTTGGAGAAATACCAGGTCTTTTAACCAATGAGTAAATGTTGGAAAAACTTAAGTACCTCATCATCTTCCACCTGTGCTCACTGGGGCATGGGGATACAGGAGGCTGGGAAGGGAGGATCTTTACAGATTTATATCCTGTCCACCTATACAAATCGCACTTCTCAGCAAGGCAGAGTCCTGGCTGCTCCAAAGCGCTGACAGTGATTCCTTCCTCTTCTGCCATTCCCCAGCCTTCACAGATGGTAACACCCATCTGGCAGTCTAATCAGATAGTACGTCACTTAATGTGTGTGTTTCCTGTGTGCCAGAAGGGGCTATAACAGTTTCAAGAGCAATATTGTGAATCATAGTTGTAGGGTTTTTCCGCCCAAGAGTACCTAGCACAGTACCATGCACAGGAGATACCCAGTAAATATTTCTGAAATCAAACTTAGCCACATGTAGTCACAGTCTGTTTTTTTAGGTGTGTGTGTCCTTTGTGTAACTAACAGTCTCCCAGTAAGAACATAGATCCTTCATTTCTAGTACTGAAAACGACTTTTCAACCTAGGGGCAAAAATACCACCAGACTCCCTAACATTATAAAGGGGAAGAAGCAACCGAGATGCTACATTTGGGACTTTTTTAAGCTTTAGGCTTAAAATAAGAGGCTCTTTGAATTCTCTTAAACTCACACATGCCAAATCACCCAGGTCATACTGAACACACTAATGTTTGCTCCATGTTTTGAAATTCACTGCACATATGTTTTAAGACACATGTTTAAGACAAATGCCTTATACATTTTCTCTTAGTTTAGTTTAATTTTTATTATTTTTTGTAGAGACAAGGTCTCCCTCTGTTGCCCGGGCTGGTCTCGAACTCCTGGGTTCAAGCAATCCTCCAGCCTCGACCTTCCAAAGTGCTGGGATTACAAGCACGAGCCTGGCCTATTATTTAGGTAAATACTAATCCTCAAGGGATATCCTATTTTTACATTCACTCAACTTAAAACTCACTTAAAATGGAAATAAACCGAGGAGGCCACCGCACGTGTCACCTCCTGAAACCTCAGCATCTCGGTGTGAACCGGCCCTTCACGATCTTAGTTCAGGGGAAAACTCAGTGCCGGGACGTCTCGTCCACAGACGCAAACCCCCGCACCTCTCGAGAGGCCCAGCCACGCGGCCCGGCCCCACGCCCCAGCTACTTACAGGGTCACTTTGGTGGTCACCGTCGACCTGCCGGCTCCGAGGTGGTTCCTGGGCTTCAGGCCGTCGGCGTCCGCGGCTCCGGCCCCTCTGCCCAGCTCTCGGTTTCGCCCCCCTCCCTCGGGCCGGCCGTCGAGGTGGCCGGGGAGCGGGCCCTTCTTGTGCTCGGGCTTGATCTCCGGCAGCAGCGAGCTGCTCTTGACCGTGAGCTCGCGGGGGG